TAGCTTACCACATGCATATAAAAAAGTGAGAATTTGAACTGAAAATAGAGGCAAGCAGAGCTTGACACAGGATCCTCAATGTAGCTCCCAAGATGGAGATGACGCATGTCATCTGATGTCATGACATGTACAGAGTGGAAATCACATTCAGCACTGAGCTACTTGATAATTGATTACCCATCATTCCTTACAAGCCAACAGTACTCTTGTGAACCACAACAGCAAGTTTCACATCCACGTGCAATGCAAATAATAAAGAAAATTCACAAATACATTGCTGTATGTAATTGTAGGATACTGTACATATATTAATAAGCAACAATAATTTAAACCAGTCATATCTAAAGACATTTCTGTGCTGATGGGAATTTTTTATATTTGTACTCCTCAAAATGATGTTGTTCTCCAGATGAGATGACCACTGAACTGCTGACATATGGTTAGAAAAAAATAAGAAAGCGAATGTATTAGCGGTAGGCATTGAACCTAGGCTCTGTGGGTGGCGGATCTACACTCCCGAGGCACATACCCAGCTCTGGTTGATTTTTATTAATGCTATTTGAAATTTAAATCTCTATTAGTGGCTAGTGTTTATCATACTGGATGTCTGAATCTTGAACAGAACAGCCCATGTCTCTAGGCATTTTGTGCCAGATCCAGAGTTAATTCAGAAATTGCTTTTATTCCTACAACTACTACAAAAAGGCAGTCAATGTTCCAATTTTGAGCAAGCTAGAAGACCTGAATGTATCCCTCTGCTTACTGCATCTCAATTTGTGAAGTATGACGTTAAAAAAAAGTAGTTTATAAGTTAACATTCATTCCCATCAATTAAAACAGTTCATCTGTGTTCTGGTCTGTACATTCCTAACTCAGCCAGGAATCCCACTAGCTTTTGTCTTCGGGCCATGTTCTGAATGTGTGTACAAAATGGCCATTTCTCATGACAGAGGATAGAAATGCTCCCCCACAAAGCCAATATTTTGCCTTCATCCATCAGTTCTCTCCTCATTATTAGGAATGCTACACAGTTTCTATAATTTCTTCCTTTGCTCTGACCTGATTTCCATGGACCAAGGAAGTCCTGACTGGGTCTCTGGAAGCACTGGGTTCCTTGAACTCTGTTTTCCTTCGCTCAGCAAATGTCTGACCTGTTGCTCACACTTACACAGTTCTGCCCAGACTGCGGTGGTCTCTCCCACTGCTGATCTAAACACATTTTCTCTGTCAGTCTTAGCTGTTGCTGCTAGACCCACATCCTTGTTTTGCTTTAGCCCTACACGCAACATAGACATGGGCCAGAATATGAAGACACTATAAGTGCCTGGGCTCTTGCTTGTGCAGCCAATCCTGTGTCACATACACTAGAAACAGTTTATTCTTCAGAGCCAGTCAGATATATTTCAGTTTCAATCTTACGTGAACCTTCTAGTTAAATATCCAAGTATCTGAAGGACACAAGCAAATAGTAATTTTCTCAAGATTGAGTCATTAAACAAAATTACACTGTAAAAGTGTCCAAGATAATGCCTAACATTGTATGTTATCCAAAAAATGAAAAGGAAGAGATGAAAGTGAAGGAAATTAGTAAACAATTAAATGGGGGCAATAAAATCTCTATATGGCAATGAGGCTTACAGGAGGACAGTGGCCCTGGAAAGAGCAAGGTCAACAGCAGGCTTGAAGGAAGAGGAGGTGCTCACTGACAGATTAGATAAAGGATTGAAGGGGAGGAAGGGATCAAAGATAAGTACAAGGTAAATAGGTGGAGGAAGCTCAGAAAATTGAGAGAGATAACACCAGGAATCTGGCACTGCGGGGCAGCTGAGATGAAAAACAATATATTAAAAAATTACTTGCAGATTTTTAGATAAAGTGAAAGGTCATTAAAAGACCAAAACCCAGAGCAAGCATGATGGTTAATCTGGATTGTCATCTTGATGGGATAAATAAATAATCATATCCTCCTAACTATTGCT